GGGCGCGACACACAGGATGTTGCGGTCTCTGTGCGGCCGCTGTGGGGCTGCACGCGGCGCGCGCGGCCTTGCTGGGAGACTGCTGTCGGCTGGCCCGGCTGAGGCCACCGAAAAATCTCGCCGGTCGGCGGTGAATTCCTCTAGCAACAACTAGGCTAATTAAAGCTTATCAAAATTTGAATTCTACCATGGCTAAGGGTTCAAACAAGGGGGTTCTAAACCAAGGTTTTTAAGGCTAATAAAATTTATAGCGTAGATTCAAAAATCATTATCACAAGGCAACAATATTTTAAGGTTAGAGGTTACCAATTTTTCATGGCAGAAGAGTACATCATAATTCCAATCTCAAGACATCAAGGGATTTAAAACTTCAAGGCTCACAAGAGAGTTCCGAAAATTCCACCATTTTCACATAAAACACCACACTTTCTCAATTCATAAGGCTTTGAAAACTTTTTAACCCCACAATAACCTTGGACGAAAAATTGAAGTGGGATTATGGAATCTACCTCTCTTCGAGAATCTACAAGCAAGAAGAACATAGATTCGGACACGATGCTCTCAGATCTCCTTGATCACAGCGTGCACGGGGTCTCACTTGGCAAAAGGACTCGCGCCCGGTGGTGCTCGAGTGGCCACGGACAGCGGCTCTCAGTCGATGACGGCTACGCACATCTCCTCGGCAAGGCCCAGCTCGCAGACGATCCTTGGCCAAAGTGTTGCTCGATCTTCATGTCCTCACACCAAGCTCAAATTCGTTTGCCATTGAACTGAGTTTCATTGTCTGAGATCAGAACTTTGGGGACTCCAAACCTTCAACAAATATTATTACACAAAAAGTGCACCACTTTATCCTCCGTGATCTCGGCCAATGGTTTGACCTTGACACATTTCATGAAATAGTCCACAAACACGATCAAGAACTTCCTCTGACCCGAACCTTGTGGCATAAGTCCTACCAGGTCAAGGTTCCACTGAGCAAATAGAATTGGGGCGCTAATCGTGGTCATCATCTCCGCTGGCTGATGAATAAGTGGTCCGTGCTTCTGGCATTGTAAGCATTTTTTCACCATGGTTATCGCGTCCGCCTTCATAGTCGGCCAGAAGTATCCAACTCAAAGAATTTTTGCTATCAATGATCCGACCTTACTGTGGTTGTTACAGCATCCTTCGTGAACCTCCTTCAACATGTAATTTCTTTCTTCTTCGGTCACACACCTCAAATGTGGCCATGAATACGACTTTTTGTGAAGGATTCCACCTTGCTTGAAAAATCTTTTAATGTATTTTAAGTTCCCATGTCTTAACTCCTGCAAGATGAGAGCTCTTCAATCTTTGACCTCGACAATATCTGCCACGTCGACGACACTCTTGTCCATATTTAGCAAAGTGACACTTCTACTCTTGCAATCGACCAGACTTTGGGCTATTTTTTGTAACAAGTCAAACCATTTTCGCCCCTCGGGATCTGAATCAGCTCGAATGAGCTAAACTCCTTCTGCAATGTTTTGTCCTTGTTCACGTATTTTTGTAGTCGATCTTCTTTCACCTCGAAATCTCCTTGAAATTAACCGACCACAAGCTGCGGATTTGAGTGAATTTGGTTCTCTCTAGCTTCTCCTACCAGTGCCAGCTGCAATCCTTTCAACAAGGCCTCGTACTCAGCCTCATTGTTCGATACCTTAAAACCCAATATTATTGCAAACTCTAGGTTGTCATCTTTTGCTTAAATCAACATGATCCCCAAGCCTGCTCACCCCCTTGGAGACCAAACCATCCACATATATTTTCCACTTTCCTTCTGCTTCGACCTCGATCCCACTGCCTTCCTGAATAAAATTTGCTAGAACATGGGTCTTAATTGTCTTCCGAGGCTCATAGGTCAAAGAATATTCGTTCAGCTCAATTGCCCATTTCACCATTCGACCTGACACAGAAGGTCGACGAAGTGTCTCCCCCAATTGCGTGTTCGTCCTAACTTTCACTCTGTGAGTTAGAAAATATGGCCTCAGCTTCTTTACAGTTACGACCATGACCAACGCACCCTTCTCGATCTCTGAGTACCTCAATTTCGCTCTCTGTATTACTCGACTAACATAATAGATTTGGTACTGCACCATGCCTTCTTCCTTCAACAGGATTGAACTCACTGCTACTACACCAATCGAAAACATACAAAACGACATGTAGCTCCTCGAACGCCTTCTGAGCCTCATCTGTCCATTTGAATTTTGAGCTCTTCTTCGACGTCTTAAATAGTGGACTGCTTCTCTCGGCCACTTTAGAGATAAACCTACCCAAACCCGCAATTCAACCAGTTAAAATTTGTACCTCTTTCACGTTCTTCGGTAAACGCATCTCCAACACAACCCGAACTTTTTCTGGATTCACCTTGATTCCTTTTTTGGTCACTATGTAGCCTAGAAACTTCCCCAAATTCACGCCAAACGAACACTTGGCTGGATTCAGCTTCATTCCGTATCTCCTCGGTGTGGTAAACTTCTCCCTCAAGTTTGTCACATGGTCAACCTTTAGTCTACTTTTGACCAACATGTCATCCACATATACTTCCATATTTCGACCTAACTGTTCTTTAAAGATTTTAAAGACCAGCCTCTAGTATGTTGCACCTGCATTTTTCAGGCCGAAAGGCATGACTAGTAGCAATACGTTCCCGTGCTCATCACAAAACTGACTCTTTCGATCTTCTCTCGCCAACAAAATTTGGTGATAACCTTGTGACGTATCCATCAAGCTCAGTAATTCACACCCCGCCGTTGAGTCAACCAGCTGGTCGATGTTTGGTAGTGGATAGAGGTCATTGGGGCATGCCTTATTGAAGAAGCGAAAGTCAATACACATCCGTCATTTTCCTTCTGACTTCGACACCATCACTGTGTTTAACAACCACTTAGGGAATTGAATCTCGATCACATGTCCTGCCCTCAGTAGTTTGTCGACCTTCTGCTCGATCACCTTATCCATCTCCGCCCCATGGTGTCTCCTCTTCTGGCGCACCGGTCCAACGTTGAGGCCAATGTTTAACCGGTGCTCGATGATGCTTGCGCAGATCCCAGCGAGTTCCTCAATTGTATAGGCAAAAACATCCTTAAACTCCTTTATCAATCTGATGAGCTCCATCCTTAAGGGTTCTCCCAAATTCTTCCCTATCCTAAACTTTCTCTCGTCACTTCTTTTAATCATTTGGATTTCTTCGATCTCTCCCCCTGATGGATATTTGCCTTTTGCTTCACCTTTTCAAGCTTAGGCCTCTTCTCCTTCGACCTGGATCCGCTTGGTCTGTCTACCATCTCCTCTTTTGAAATACTCGACCTCTCTGCATCTGGCCTATTCACCTTATCAAGCTTAGGCCTCTTCTCCTTCGACCTGGATCCGTTCGGCCTGTCTACCATCTTCTCTTTTGAAATACTCGACCTCTTTGCATTTGGTAGCACGTACTCGACGTCAGCTTATCACATGTGACCTCACTTACTTTTTTATAACCGGGTATTTGATTGTCATGTTATATGTCAACACCACTGCCTTAAAAGCATTCAGGCTTGTCTTTCCAAGGATAATGTTGTACGATGACTCCTCTCCGACCACCACAAACCTCACCATCTTCACCTTTCTGGTCGAACCCGTCCATAAAGCCACCGACAAGCTCACCACACCCATAGGTACGACCTGACTTCCATTTAAACCATACAAGAACGTGACCACTTCCTTCAGCTCAATATCCAGATTCAACTGTCTAAAGCAATCACAAAAGATGACACCCATCGAACTCCCCATATCGATAAAGATCCTTTTCACATCATATCCTACAACCTTTGACGTGATCACTAGGACATCATTATGTAGCACATGAAGTCCTTCCGCGTTCTCAGCTTGAAAGCTAATCACCGGTGTTCGATAAGAAGGGACCACATTCATGGCTCAATGTCGAATTGTTGTGTGCTACGTGAATGCATATATGCAAGACTTCCAAGATGTCGTGATATTAAACTGAGTTGTTGACGATGCTCACAAAACTACGCCTTGAAAGTCCTGAACAATTTCTCCTCATCCAGAATGGGTAGTTCGTCACCAGAATCATTATTGTGCATGTTGGGTTGGTCATTAACATCATCGTCGTCACGAGAATAACCTTCTTAGTTCGAACAATCACGTGTATCATCCAATTCAAGGTCCACATCTGAATAAGCTGCGGTGTGATCATTATTGGCCTGAGTAAATGAAATAGGGCCTTCCCCAGTATGTGTAAATGAACTAGGGCTTATTCGGTGAAGAGAGTTGCCTGCATGATATAGATATGAGGTCGCGTGGAAAAATGCAGAACTACCAAAACCAAAATGGTCTGGCATACACCATTGAACGTCATTATTTGCGTGAAGCTTTGTTGCCCCATCCCCGGAAGCCCTAAATTTAGGCGCTGCTCCAACTCGAAGTAAATGTTGGAAGTACTTTGTTTTTTAAATAGCTCTAATATATTATCATTGGATTAGAATTTCATCTTCGTGACTTGAGGACTTCAATCAAATGCGGCCAATAATATGTAATCAAAATTACAAGGATCGACCTTTAATATTGCTTGAGCACGGGAAACCATTTTAGAATACATTTGTTGACCATATTTATTCTCATCGGCTGCGCAACACCTGGGACATATTTACTTAGGGAAAACACACCGCCATAGTGCACACATACTCTAACATGGTTGTTAGACAATGAAGTGTAATTTTTAAAAGAAACAAAATTAAAAGCCAAATAATTTTGAAAAAAATGTAGTAGATAAGAAGAAGAAGAAGAAGAAGAAGAAGAAGAAGAAGAAGAAGAAAATAAAAATGGTAGTAACTGTAGGCAGGAAGAAGAAGAAGAATTAAATGGCAGTAAATGCATGTAGGAAGATGAAGAATATATGTTAAATGGTAGTAAGATTTCTGACAAAAAAATCCGCATCTTGCGTGTCTAGTTTACGTGAAACAAAGAAGTAGATCAATAAGATACGTAACTATTCAAATCATATAAAAAAATATGTTCACATATCGATACGTAACTACTCGAATAATATGCGAAACACTTTCGACGGATATGCGATTTGTGATATAGATCGACAAAAAAAAAAAATGGCGGATAGTCTTGAATTATGCGTCTTTCAATTTGGATATGTGATTCGTGAATATGCAAATACTTTACGCATAATCGTTAATTATACAGCCTTAGAGATTTGGATATTTGAGTCGTAAACTATGCAAAAAATATCGTATAAATATGCGACGTTCGATTTAGATATGCGATATCTAAATATGCGATACTTTCACGCATATGTTAAATTATACGGTGAATTAAGATATATGATTACAAAATATACGAAAATAATTTGAATATTTATTAATTATGCCTTTGATTTGGGCATGCGAGACGTAATCTATGCGAACATATTTCGCATAATCATAAATATGGGATGATCAATTTGATAGACGGTAACTATATAAGCAGAATATTTTTTGCATAATTTTGATTTGGATGATCATAAATTATGCGATTCGTGAATATACGAACACATTACACACAATCGTTAATTATACGACGGTATACATATGGATATGCGAGTTGAAAATTATGCGAAAACATTTTGCATAATCCTAAAATATGCGGCGGTCAATTTGGATATGCAGTAACTATATATACGAAATAATTTTCGCATAATTTTGATTTAGATAATCATAAATTATGCGATTCTTGAATATGCGAACATGTTACACACAACTGTTAGTTATACGGCGTTATACTTGTATATGCGAGTTGAAACTATGTGAAAACATTTCGCATAATCCTAAAATATGCGGCGATCAGTTTGGATATGCGGTAGCTATATATGCGAAATAACTTTCGCATAATTTTGATTTGGAGCGATTCTTGAATATGCGAACATGTTACGCATACTCGTTAATTATACGACGTTATAGATTTGAATATGCGAGTTGAAAACTATGCGAAAATATTTCACATAAACATAAAATATGCGACGTTCGATTTGGGTATGCGATAAATTAATATGCAAAACTTTCTCGCATATGATAGACTATGCAGTGTATTTGGATACACGATTAACAAATATGCGAATTGGTTTCGCATAATTATGAATTATACGTTTGATTTGGATATGCTTTGGTATATATACGACAAAATTTCGCATAGTTATTAATTATGCGGTTCACTTAAATATGCGGCATATAATTTCGTGAGTTGTGGGGTGAAAAAGAAATATTTTGATAGAACTATGTATAAAGAAATATTTTGATGGAACTGTGTAAAAATATTCTATGTATATATTAAAGTGTAAAAGAAATTATTCTAAATTTACTGGCATACTGTCATAGATAAAATAAGTAGAGTTGTCAAAACGGGCTGGCGGGCCTGTGAAATGCTGGCCCAACTCGCCCCACCATGGATAGCAGGTTTGGCGGGCCAGGCCTGTCAGTTAAAAAAGTACTTTATATAAGAACCAAATACAAGCAGATACGCTTTGTGTGTGATACGAGCTTATCACAAATTCAGCTTGAAGCAGATCCGGCGGTTCATCAATTAGTTCACAAATTCAGCAATAATTCCCTTAACAAATTCACAACTTCAGCAACAAGTTCACAACCAGACTAACATCAGTCCCTGACAGACCATCGAGGAAGATAACACAAGGGCCGGTGAAAATTAGAACACACTGGTTTCGATTTCGGCGCTTTCGAGCTTCAACCGAAAAATCGTCAGCCCGACTTCAAGCTTCGACGAGAAAATCAGCGGCCAAATATGTGGATCGAAGTGCAGGCGGAATTGAGGGCTTTTGGTTCTAATTTTGTGCTAGAAAAATTTGAGGATATCTAGCCCAATGTACAAAACCTAACTTTCCAATAATTTCTATACACGTGTAAATTGTAACATTTATATTCATGATTTTTTTTTTTTTAATTTAGTAGGCCGATCCGCAGATTAGTCTGCCATGCCCCGTCCCCCATGCGGGCTAGCCCGTTTAGGCCCACTCTCTAGCGGACCTAGAAAAATCAAGCTTAACCTGCCCTTTTGGCGGAGCGGGGCGGGACGGGCCGGCCCGCGAGCTATTTTGACAGCTCTAAAAATAAGTAATAATTAAAAAAATAGAAAATTGGTACTTTGCATAAAATAAATTTAATTCCTTTTCGGCTCCGCTTTCCTGCATCCGATAAAATAAGTAATAATTTAAAAAATTGAAAATTGGTACTTGCATAAAATAAATTTAATTCCTTTTCGGCTCCGCTTTCCTGCGTCAGCACGCCGCCTTCTCTCTCTGCACCTCTTAAAAAGCCCTCTCCTCCTACACTTTCTCCTCAAAGCCCATACCCAACTCAATTTTTCCCCCAATTCATCCTCAAAATTAGGGTTTCTTCTCTCTCTCTCTCCAAAATTGCAACCTCAGGCGATCTGACGAACTAATTAATCATGACCGACCGCAGGCCGATAAAGATCCGAGAGGTATGGTCCGATAACCTCGAATCCGAGATTGATCTGCTGTCGGATCTTGTAGATCGGTACCCGTTTATATCCATGGACACCGAGTTTCCTGGCGTCATCTTCAAGCACCAGGATCTGGCCGGAAGCCGGCGCGGGAAGCCGTCGCCGTCGGATCACTACTGGATCCTCAAGTCGAACGTCGACGCCCTGAATCTCATCCAGCTCGGCCTCACCCTCTCCGACGCCGACGGGAACCTCCCGGATCTCGGCCCCGACGGCGAGCTCTGCATCTGGCAGTTCAACTTCTCCGACTTCGACGCGGCGCGAGACCCCCACGCGCCGGACTCGATCGAGCTTCTCCGGTCGCAGGGGGTGGACTTCGAGCGCTGCCGGTCTTCGGGTGTGGACTCGGCCCGGTTCTCGGAGCTGATGATGGGTTCGGGCCTGGTGTGCAACGACGCCGTCAGCTGGGTCACGTTCCACAGCGCGTACGACTTTGGGTACCTGGTGAAGGTCCTCACGCGCCGCCAGCTGCCGGATGGGCTGGGCGGCTTCCTGGACGTGCTCAGGGCGTTTTTCGGCGAGAAGGTATACGACGTGAAGCACCTGATGCAGTTCTGCGCGAGCCTGTATGGAGGGCTGGACCGGGTGGCTGAGGCCCTGGATGTGGGCCGGGCCGTCGGGAAGTGCCACCAGGCCGGGTCGGACAGCCTGCTGACGTGGCACGCGTTTCAGAAAATACGGGACCTGTATTTTGTGAGGGAGGGCCACGAGAAGTACGCCGGGGTGTTGTACGGATTGGAAGTGTTTTGAGTGGGGATAGTTGATAGGAAGTGAGGATTTATTAGGGTTGTGTATTTTGTTTGATGATGATTAACAACTTGTTGATACATACAAGTAATTAGTTTTAATTGTTTTGAAGATTAAAATTTTAAATTGTTCAACATAAAAATAAGACTAGAGAACAACTATTCAGCTGAAACACAAAAGATCCCAACAGTAGAATACACCAAACACACTCCAACGAGAGAGAGAGAGACATAAAACAGACAAACAAGAAAAACACATAGCAAACAACTTAAATACAGACAAATCAACCCTTCCCACATCGGGCAGAAAACCAAGAAGCCCTATAACCGACAACCTCCCGACCTAAACCACACCCTGGGAAGCCGCTCCAGAAACTGCCTAACGTCTATATGGATCTACACTCCAGAAACACGACTCTCAATCAGACGATCAGCCACTGCCCTCAGCCAGAGGAAAACCCGGCTTGCCCCCCTTCCCCCTCCACCACACCGACACTCAAATCCCAGCCAACATCACTGGCAGAAATCGGAGGCGGCGGCCAGCCAATAATCCCGAGCACCAAGGGAAAAGAGGCTCAAGGGACAAAACCCGGCGAAATGGTCGCCCCGACCACCCGACACCACCTGACAGTCTGAGCAGCAGCCGCTCCCTAGACCTCACGGCCGTTCCAACTCCGCGACACCAGAAGGTTGAGGCTCCTCCACATATATAATAGTGCCAGATCTCGGTGAATCCCGTCTGCTACGCCCTTCACCTTCAATATCGCAAGGGCAAAGACCACCGAAAGCCAGGGAGAGCCCGTTCCGGCCAAAGACTACCGCCGACGAGCCTCTTGGCTCCCAGCTGGGGAAGGCGCGCTCACGAAATTAGTCGGACGAAGGAGAAGACAAAACTAGGGTTTTAAGGCAAATTGGGCATCTGGTTATAATATATTAA